ACGTGGCTTCTCAAGGCTCCCCACAATCCTTGCAAATCCTGTTTTCTCCTGTTGCTCGTATCGTACTTTGTGCTTCGGATACACAGACCTTGTCACTGCCTGGACACCTCATGCTACTTTTCATACCTCAGTGCCTTTGCACATACTGCTCTCTGTGTGGTGTGTCTTCCCCTCCTGCCCTGCCTTCTGCCCCAGCTAAGTGCCCCCTCAGCCTTCACCTCCTCCCTGAAGCCCTAGTTAGTCTAGAGTGCTTTTGTGTTATTTCTGTACCTTGGACACACTTCCCATCGCATGGATCACATTTTAATTGTCTATATACTAGGTGACAGCAGGCTCCTCTAACACAAGGACTGTTTCTTATTTACTGCTCTACTTCAGGAATCAGTAAATCAGAACCAAACCACTAGGAGAGCACAGCTCTGCTCCCTTGAACTAGGGACAGCATAAAAAAGAAGGTAGGTTAGTATTTTACAACCACGGGCAGAGAGCTGGCTTCTGATAGCACATCTGACACTAACCAACCATACTTACCCTTGGAAATTCACTTAACACCCCAGAACCTCAGTTCTCTAACCTGTAAAGTGGGGATGACAATAACAATCTCCAAAGGGATATTGGGAGAACCAATGCAATATCATGAATAAAGCAATTAATGGAAGGCTTAATGGTTACCATTTATCATCGTCAGGCTCTTTGACTCAGTAACATTTGGGGAAAGGAAAGAGATAATCATGAGAGGCAAAGTTGACTTGCAGGGCCTGCAGAGTTTAGATATCCACGTGGTGTCACAGAGGCCCTTAGTAAATGCAATTACTCTTTGGAGCCCCGAAAACCAGCCCAAACAGTGGGCTGGTGGTAGCTAATGTTAATTGAAGTTCCATGACCAGGCATGTCTCTAAGTGCTTCACTTATTAACTCATCTAATATCCATTGCTAGCCAACAAGGTATAAGACCTATAATAATAATTTATTTATTATAAACATAGTAATAATTTATGATGAGTGAACTGAAACAAGCCTGACTGTACAATGTGCAAGCTGAAGTATAGTGATAGGGATTAAGCTGCTAGTGTGACACGCTGATAGTGGTGGGGCAGGGATTTGAACCCAGGCAGAGTGACTGCAGAGTTCAGGCCCTTAGCAACTGAGCTCTGCTAAGTCTAGTTACAGCGTATTGAGCACCTTCTGTGTGCCAGGCACTGCACTGTTTTCCATGGAAATATTGGCTCACTCAACACCCTTTCCAGTCTCTTCCCAGAATACCCTTCTACACTGCAATGACTGAAAAGCTAGGTATTTTCCAGATCCCCTACCAGCTCATTTCCAGAAGTTCTCCTATGAGACTTTGATTTGTACCTGAGTCACTTAAGCAGAGAAGCAGTGTACAAGGCACCTGTTTACCTGGCACAGGCTGGGCTGGAGGTAACATGGTTCTCAAGTCAGCTATTGTAGTGGTGGCTTCCTGATCCTGCAGTTTCCTGATTAGGCAGAGGAGCAGTTCTTTTGGTGGGCCAGTTTGGCAGTGTGGTTTGGGCAGCTGTTCCTGGAAGCTCAGTCCAGAGCCAATTTCCTCAGCCCCTATAATGTTGCTGTAAGTTTTCTATTTTTAATAAATTCCTGAGCTAGAACAGATTCTGTTGTCTGCAACCAAGAGTCCTCATTAATACGGTTCGATTCCCTCACCCTGGGGTGGGTTAGTTGATACCTTATCTTCATGAAGAAATGGAAACTCCAAGACATTAAAAGATTTGTCAAAGTCACACAGCTTTCTAAGTGGCAGGAACTCAAATTTAGTTCTATCCAACTCCAAAACCTGGAATTCAACCGCTGTATTTTACTGTTTCAGGTTTTTGGGTTTTTTTTTTTCCTTTCCATTTTTCTGCTAGACTTGAATGCAATCACAATCCACCATTTTTGAGAGATCTTTGTTATCAGAGGCAGCTATGTTCCTCTCTTCCTCTCTCAGTCATCCCGGAATGTGGTTCTGAATATCTAGCAGCTCCAGCAGAATTACCTTTTAATGGCTTATCTCCGTTGTCACGAGTTGAGCTAGGCCTCATGCTGGGAGTTCCACATCACCCTGCAACAACCCGAGAGATGGGTAATGTAATCCTCATCTTTAAAAAGCAGAGAAGAGATTCTGAGAGCTGTTGACTGAAGGTCCTGGCTGATAAGTTAAGGTCATGCCAGCTGTTGGAACAAACAATCCTAACAAAACACAATGGCTCAAACATGATAAGAATTTATTTTCCATTCACCCAAAGTCTAAAACAAATGTTCCTGATTGGCAGTGGCTCTCCTCCTAGTGGAGATTCAGGGACCCAGGCTCTCTCCGTCCTGTGGTTTCATCCCTTTCGATATGTGGCTTCCTCTAAGTCAAGGCAGCAGATGGAGAAAGGGCACATATGAACCCCATGTGGGAGGGTTTTATGGCCAGGCCTGGAGAGTGATACCTGTCACTGCTGCTCACTTTCTATTGGCAAGAACCCAGACACTAGTCCACACTTAATCTCAAGGGAGGCTGGGGAATGTATAGGTAAGGGGCACTGGGAAATGTAGCCTAGCCACATGGCCAGGAAGAAGAGGAAAAGGGATTGGTGATCGTTAACCAGTGCCATGCTGGCCAAGCCGACTTCACAGCAGTCTCTGTGGGGCCAATGCCAGCCCCACTCTCCTCCCTGCTGCCCAGTCGTCTGTCATCAGTGGTGGTGTGGTACAGAGGAAGGGGACTGGACTGAAGATAGGAGTCCGAGTGCTCATTGTGTTGCTGGCCTTGTGACTCTGGATAAGCCCTGTCACTGTTCTCAGCCTCACTCTCCACCTCAGTAAAGCGAAGGGCTTGGGCAAATCATGTCTAAAGCCCCAACTAGCTCCAACACTGACTCTGACTATGCTAGTGTCCTTGATTATGCTTTTGTCTGTAAGAGATGTTGTAAAAATTTTTATTCTCCCTTCAAAACACAGGTTACCGGGAAGCCCAATATATGACAGATAAAAGGAGAGCTGTTCTGGCTGGAGGCAGGAGAGGGGCTGGAAGCCCTATGTCCTTGGCTGCCTGCTCCCCCTTTCCTGCAGTGGCTCCTGAGAGGTCTCAATGGACTTAAGTCTCCATGAAGCATAGTCTGAAAACCAGTTGTCTAAACCGCAGTGGTCCCTCCAGATGTGCATGCTAAGTCTCTGAATAGCACAGGTAACCCCTGGATTCATTCTTCCATTCCTTCCTTCATCCAGTCTTAATGAGCTCCTATTTTGAGAGGCAGGAGGGGATGGTGGTTAGTCATGGGGCATCAGAATCTGGGTTTCAGCTTTGAGTGTGCCACTTAATAGCTAGAGGATTAGATTTTGAACAAGTTCCTTAACTCCTCTGTACCTGTTTCCTTGTCTACAGGACCCTGAAAATGGGTACCTTGTATACCTCTTCAACCCTCTTTGTAATACTATCTTTCTCCTTAGCACTTACCACCTTATACTGTACTTACTGACTTATCTTGTTTCTTGCCTGTCTTCTCCACTAGAATGTCAGCTCCTTGAGGTGGTGACTTCTGCCTATTTTGAATTTCTGATGTGTCCCCAGGACCTATGACCATGTGTAGCCTAGGACATAATCGTTGCTCAGTAAATATTATTAAATGCTTTTGATTACCTTAAAGCACTCAGAATAGGGCCAGCTACATTATAACTTGATATTTTTATTAAGTATTACAGATGAGATCATAGTGTTGAAAAGAGTCAGATAGCATTCCAGCCTTTATGGACTTTACAGTCCAGACGGGAGACAGATATAAAATGAAGAAGTAAAAATAAATATTTATTATATGTTACACATATTTAAATTGTGACAAGTGTTATAAAAGTTTAGGTGCTGAGGAAGGGTATAACAGAAAGATATCATTTGGTTTTGGTTTTTGAGGGTGGAGAGGGGTCAGAGTTGGCCTCTTTGAGATAAAACAAACCATTTAAGCTGAGACCTGACAGGTAAACGAGAGTGGGCCTGGCCTGGAGGGACAGTGTGCCAGGCATGAGGGCAGTGTGTGTGAGTCCTCCCCAGTGAAGGGAACAGGGACAAGAAAGTCAGCTGGAGAAGTAGTGATGGGAGGGGACAGGATGGACAGGACCTGATCATCCCCAGCAGGGTGGGGCCTTTACTCAACAAGTAATGGGTCCCACAGGCAAGTGATGTGTTTAAACAGAGGAGGGACACGGTCATGTTCACAAGATCCCTCTGGCTGCTGAGTGAGGAGCCAGCTACAAGGAGCGGAGGAGAGTAGGGTGCAGAGGCAACACTTCACCCCTGCAGCATGTTCCACTGGTCAGCCTTCTTCTTCTGCCATATGTCTTTGCACAAGTTTTGAGCTCCTTGGGCAAACTCGTCTGTTTCCTAATCAAGTTCTAGGGCTTGATCTTGAAACTGCAGGTCCTTCTAACCACTGGTGAAAGAATTCTTATCACGCTAAGAAAGAAAAATGTGGCCTCCTTCCCTGCAGCTGTAGAAGAGCAGGCACTGTTCTACATCTTAAAACTGTCTTTGCAAGTGCTGTCTCTGACATAGTCGTCTCTGAGATACCTGGATTTTGGAGCCGGTTGCTCTGCCCTATAACTATGACCTTTAACCTCTAAAATGTCTCTTGTTCTAATTGAGTGCCCTGGTAATGAGATTTTTTAAATGCCATCTTTGTTTTCTAAAAGTGATAAATATTTGAGAGGTTTCTTTTTTAAGCCTAGAGGAGAACATTAACCCTCCACTATGATTTCTTTAAAAAAAAAAAAGACCTCTCTGTATCTCTTTTTTAAATAAAGTTTGCTAGCTTTGGATCACTTAAATTAACCCAGGAGTCTGGTAAGGAGCTTTTGCAAAGTCAGGTGACAGAGGTTGCAGGTTTGGATTAAGATGGGGCCAGTAGGGACGAGAAAGCTGGGAACTTGGACAGAATTGAGAAGGCTTCTGGAAGTAGAATTGATAGGACTAGGGGAAACATTGAACTGCATGTAGGAGGTGGGCAGGCAGTTTACCGGATGACTCCCAGGTTCCCTGCGTGAACCACATGGAGGATTGTCCATGAAAAGAAGTGGGAGAGTGGACTATCTCTCGGAAATCTGTTTATTCCACAATTAGTGATGTCAGGAGGTCCTCTGTGCAAAATTTCCCTCCTAAGAGGCCCCAGGGTGAAAACTTAAAGGTGGTTGACTGTGTTTGAACAGTCGTAGAGGCAGTGGAGGTGGAGTGGGCATCACAGGGGTTCTTGGTGACTCAGAAGTTGGATTTTCCTCCATAGATGTCTCTGATGATGGATTGGGACGTGAATGGGAGCAGAGCTTCACTCTGAGCCCCCAGAGAGGTGGCATTTCTGTCTAAGCTGCGCTCAGCTGTGTCCTATGGACACTGAGAACTTGGGGGTCGGGGCGGGGGTTGGGGGAAGACATCTCACATGTCATGGAAACTGTGACGCTGGATTGCTCTGCAGGAAGTAAGGACAGGGAGAGACTAACTGTACGAATACATACAGCCACACTGTATATAAAAATAGAACTCTGACCCACAATCTGCTGCCACCAGCTCAGGAAGCCAAGCCACAGCCCTCGTTAACAGCCTGCCCAAAATGGCCTGGACATTGTCATCGATAACTGCCAGCTTCCCTAATGCGAATCCCCCTTCCAATGTAGTACCAGCCACAGAAGCTTCCCCGCTTCCAGCACCCCTTGCCCACAGCCTCCAATCAGGGCACACCTGAAGCCTTCCCTTCCTCCACTCCAAAGCTTTCCCACTCCTCTGCCTGCCATGAGTCTCTGCCAAAAGCAAGTGATGGAGCTGACTCCCTTGCTACAGCAACTCTGAATAAAGAGCCTTTGCTGGCTCTCATTTGGGTGGTCTTCATTCATTTCCACACCTGGCCCCTCCTAGGACATCATCAAAGCTACCTCACTGAGGACTTGGGGAAGGCAAATTCAGACCTTGAGATCTCTGTGTTTCTCAGCACTGGGGCAGAAGGCTGGTTCTTCATCAGAGGTGATGTCGGCAACATCTGGCAATTAATCCAACACTTTCCCAGGACAGAGAGGAGTATGTTTGAGTAGGAGGAGGGCTGTCTGCTGGGACAGACCCTCTGAGAAACAGCTGTTTAAAGGTGTGTGTGTGTGTGCACGCGTGCGCGCATGTTTTCCTGAAATTGTTTATCCCCTTTACAGGAGGAAAGCCCATAATGGCTACTGTTATAACCTTAGAGCTTGGACCTGTACAAATGGCCCACATGGTGTGTTCTCCTTCCCAAAGAATATATAGAGAGTATGTGAACCTCTGTCTGGAACTGGTCTGAATTCTGGCTTTATCACTATCCAGCTGTGTGATCTTGGACAAGTTACTTGGCCCCCAACCCCAGGGCCTTAAAGTCCTCCTGTGTTTATTTCATTGGCATTTCCCTGCTGCGGTGCTGGTCTAAGTGTGGTCTATACACTGCAGGCATCTGAATCCCAAGAGGTATTTGTGAGCATAGGGATTTCTGGGCCTCTTCCCAGACTTAATCAGAATCTCTGGCAGTGGTCTGGGAATCTGCAAGACTAGCCAGCTCTCTGAGTGATTTTTCTGCTCAGAGTTACTGCATCTTAGGTCCTTGTGAAGTTACGATGATGATCAAGACCTGACGCCCCTCCTGACTGAGGGCTTGTGTGCAGATCCATCCAAGGCAAAACAGATCACAATAAACACAGACATGGAGGAACCAAGAGCTGTGGGAAGAAGAGATGAGCTCCAATCTGGGAAATCTGAGAAGGCTGTAAGAAGGAAATGACTTCCACTGGAGGGAGAAGTCGAAATCCATCCTGCAGACATGGAGAGAAAGGACAACAAGGGCAAAGACACTGTCTCTGTTAGCTTTTACTGCATGAAAATCCACCCCAAAACTTAGTAGCTTCAAACACCAACATTAACTGTGGCTTCTGAGTTCACCAGTCACCTGAGTGGTCCTGTGCGTCTGGATCAGATATGGCTGAGCTCAGCATGACTTAACATGTCTCCAGTCAGCTGGCAGGTCTTTTGGTAAGTGTCTAGTTTAGGATAGCCTCACTCACGCTGCTGGTGTTGGCTGCTGTCAATCAGGTGATGGGGCTGACAGAGCCGTGCGATTTCTCATTACCCAGCAGGTGGCCTAGACTTCTGCACACAGTAGTGGTAGGGTTTCAAGAGTGAAACCAGAAGCATGCAAGGCCTCTTGAAGCCTGGACTTGGAACTTGGACATCATCACTTCTGCTACACACCATTGGTCAAAGCAGATCCTAGACCAGTCCAGATTTAAGGGGAAATAGCCTCGATTTGACTTGATGGAATGAACTGCAAAATATGATAGCCACTCTGGAAGTCTGTGGCAGACCCCAGTGTAGGAAAATGATGTGATCTTCCCAGAACACCAGACAGCAGGGTATTTGTGGGGCCAGTGAGTGAGAGACCTGGGGCTGTGATTGTGAGTGTATCCAAAGCCTCACTGTAACCAGGTCTCTCCCTTAACTGTTGGACACCCAGGATGGGCAGCTGCTAGGAGAGGCTTGCTCAAGGGAAAGGTGGTGGGAGCAGTTTCCTGCATCTAAGAGGGAAGGAATATTTTATTTACTTATTTTTTGTTTTTTTAAAATAATTTATTGAGGTACAGTTGATTTACAGTGTTGTGTTAGTTTCAGGTATATAGCAAAGTGATTCAGTATATATATATTCCTTCTCAGATTCTTTCCATTATTGGCTTTTACAAGATACTGAATATAGTTTCCTATGATCTACAGTAAGAAGTATTTTATCATTGACTTTTCTTAGAATCATTGACGCATGGTGACTTTTAAAAAGCAGACCAACTTTCAGCCAGTCTTAGTGTTCTTTTAAAATTTTCTACAGATAGTGCAACCCCTTAGTGCCTACCGCACAGTGGACCACTCCCACTGCCCCTCCCCTGGGACGCTGCCAGGGTTAGGTTCTGTGTCTGCAGAGATGAGTCTGGGGAGCTGGTTGTGGGGAAGAGGAAAACCTCCCTCCAGAGGACAGAGGCATAGACTCAACACTGCCCGGAAGGCACCTATTACAATGGCATAGGTCCATTCTAAAGCCCCATTAGATGCCACCTGCCTGCAAGCTGGATAGTACTCTCCCTGTTTCATGGACGGGAGGCCAGAAAGCCAACAAAAACCAGGGACTTGCCCAAGGATGTTGAGCTAGGAAGGAGGGTACTGGAGGTGTGACTATGGGGTTAGAAAAGCTGTGGAAAGAAGGGGATTTCTGTCAAGCATCTGGGGAAAGGGGATCCCCCATTGATCGTTTTTTTTGGGAGAAGGGTTGTGATGCTGTTGGGAAACCAAGTAGGGATGGGCAGTCACCAGCTCTGGGAAGAGCAGGAGCCCTGGGTTGTAGCGTTTGCTTATTGCTATGGTGTAATCACTCCCACCGTGGCCTCTTTCAAGCTGTTGAAATGATGCCACAGAATAAAGTTGGGACGAGATGTGCCCAATGGGCTCTGGAGCCAGGAGAAGTGGCTCCAACACCCTGGCTGGTGACATGAATGAAGGGGAGGCGTGGTCTGGGAAGATCAACCATCTGGAAGGAAGTGACGCTGCAGGCTGACTGTAGGCTGTCGGGGTTCAGAGTGCCCTGTGTCTCTTTGATGGGTGGTGCCAGCCTCACAGCTTCTTGGCATGCCTTTGTCTGTGAGCCATTGGCCGCTGACGACCCCTGGGGAGTTGAGCGCTGCTCTTTGACTCTTTCAGAAGGGAATGCATCCAAGATCTTTGCAAAACTAATGTTTGAAAAGCAACTGGTTTCAACCTGGTTGAAGAGTAAAGAGCCAGAGAAGAATGAGACTGTCCCAACCTTGGGGACACGGGGAGGAGGAGTGCTGGGAAGGCACTGGGAAATGAAAGGGACCTCAGCTGTGAGCTGGGCTTCGTGGTGGGGAGACGAAGCGAAAGGAGGGAGGGAAATTCACTTTCAACAGACCTATGCAGAACCATGGCAACCAGATAATGAAGTTGTTATAATTTCAGCATATGTACACATTTTGGTCTTGCTTTTCATTGGGAGTTACATATAGGGAGGAGGCATGACAGATGACAGATGTCTGTTCTTGCCCAGGACACTAAGGGGATTTATCCAGTCCCACCCCAACTGCCTTCTGACCCACATCTGCCTCCCCCAGCCCCTCACTCCACTCAGACATAGCTGTTCCCAACTGAACCCCATTTAGTGGGAGAGGGAAGGGGTGCTGATACCCACCCTCTGGAGAGGAAGCCCAGCTGTCCCTCTCTGAGGGCATCCTCAGTAACAAAAGGGGCTGAGTTGAGGCAGAACACACCTCATGAGGGCCAGACTCACCATCTTTGCAGAGAGCACCCCACCAGCAGATGCCACCAGCACCCAAAAGAACCAGAGGGAGAACCAAGACCTCCCTCAAGGATAGGAAACCATCCCTGCTGCTTGATTCTCTTAGGTCCCCAAGATCTAAGGAACCAGGAGGAGGTATTTGTTATTGTAATTATTATTTTCTGATGGTATCTTAGGAACCTCAGGGCGAGGACAGTGCTGGGTGTGTGGCATCCACTCAGGCATCTGCCTGAGATGATAGGTACTTCTTGTGACTCATTCTGTGGGGGAAAGATTGGACGAAAGAGGCAGGAAGAGAGGCTAGGAGAATGTGGCAATAAGTAATTAAGATGAGGTGTAATGAGGATGTGGGTGCCCTTAGCCTCTGTGCTTCCTCCCAGAAATCCATAACCCCATCTGAGCATGAGAAAAAGCATCAGACAAACCCAGACTGAGGGCCTTTTTACAAAGTACCTGACCAGCACTCGTCCAAACTGTCAAGATCATGAAAAACCAGGAAAGATTGAGGAACTGTCACATCTAAGGAGAGATGACAACTAAATGTAATGTGCAGCCTGGAGGGGATCCTGGGACAGAAAAAAGGACTTTAGGGGAAAACTAGCGAAATCTGAATGAAGTGTAAGTTTTAGTTACAGTAGCGTACCAATGTTGGTTTCTTGGTTTTGGCAAATGCACCATGGTAGCCTAAGATATTCACATTAGAGGGTGCTGGGTGAGGGGTATATGGGAACACTCACTACTGTCTTTGAACTTCTTCATGAATTTAAAGTGATTCTAAAATTAGGTTGCTAAAAAGGGGGTGAGGGAGTGGAGGCATTGCTTCCTAGCTGGGCACTCGGGGGCAGCTTCGTGGACAAGGTGTTGTCTGAGCTGTTGAAGAGCCTGCAGGGTTGGGCGGGACAGGGTTTACAGCATGTGGAGCAGCCTAAGTGGAGACCCAAGAAACCAAAGCAGCTTGGTTGTCACTAGGTGCTGCTTGTCTTCAAGACAGCACAATGATTTGCTTTTGAATTCTGGATCCTCTAAATCTGGAGGTAATTAGGCAGCCCCAGGCCAAATGAGGGCACGTGCAGTTTTCACCTGCAAGGAGCGTGGTCCACGGGGCTGCAATGCCCAGGAGCTTGGCCGCGGTCTCAGGATGAGCCTGGGGCAGGGGAGGGGATGGGGGGTCTCCCTCTTTCCACTCCCATGAAAAACAGGTATGTTGGGCACACACGAAAACCTGTACATGGATATTTATAGCAGCTTTAATCATAATTTCTAAAACTTAGAAGCAACCAAGGTGTCTCTAGTCAGTAGGCAAACGGATAAATAAACTGTAGTCCATCCAGACAGTGGATGATTATTCAGTGCTAAAAAGAAATGAGCTCTCAAGCTATGAAAAGACATGGAGGAAACTTAAGTGCATTTTACTAAGTGAGAGAAGCCGATTTGAAAATGCTTCATGCTATAGGGTTCCAGCTATATCGCATTTTGGAAAAGGCAAAACAATGGAGACAATCAAAAGATCAGTGGTTGCTAGGATTTGGGGGGATGGCAGGGATATTTAGAGCAGTGAAGCTATGTTGTATGATTCTGCAGTGGTGGTTACGTGTCATTATACATTTGTTCAAACCCATGGAATGTGCAGCACCAAGAGTGAAGCCTCCCTTAAACTGTGGACTTTGGGTAATTATGATGTGTCAACATAGGTTCATCAATTGTAACAACTGTACCGCTCTGGTGGGGGATGTTGATACTGGGAGAGGCTATGTGTGAGTAGGGCAGAGGGTATATGGGAAATCTTTGCATCTTTCCCATCAATTTTTCTGTGAACCTAAAACTGCTCTAAAAAAGGTAAAGTCATATATATATCTCCACCAAACAAAACGAAATGAAACATCAAGTCCATTGGGAGAGGAGTAGAGACCCAGACAAGCCTCCCAGCTCCCTTTGAAGGGCTCCAGCCCTGGTCTGTCTGGGAGGCTTTGCCTGAACTGAAGTCACTCCAAGGCCCAGGGGAGGGCCAATCTGCAGGGTCCTGGGAACACGGGGACATTACTTTAAACTAATAAAGGAGTGACTTGTGGAGGAGGAATCATTTGAGCTGCAGTTTCATTGACTTCACCATGTAACCTAAGTCCCAGTCTGGCCTCTCATTTTTTCACAAGTCCTCCTTACCTGGGAAGACTTTGTTAAATACACTTCCACACAGGCACTGCTCCCTGTTCATCATGTTCCTGCCACTCAGCTTGTCCTTGGGCCCATCCTGGCCTGGACACTGAGGTCAGAGTTCTTGTGGCATGAGCATCATAGGGAAAGGGATGGTGGAGTTGACTTGCTGCCAGGACACCTCTCCTTCCATAAAATCTGAAAGATAAGATCTCGAAGGTCCCTTCCATCTGGAAACCCTGTTCTATCCTTATGCTCCGGAAAAGGGAAAGGGGCAGAGTTGGGAATTCTTGTTCTGTTCATTCCATCCTGATTCCCCAGTAATTGACGTGGAGGTAAAGATGATCTCCAGCCTCCAGGGCAGCCTGCCTTTGGAAAGGAACCAGACAGCTGCTAAGGAACTGATTCTGCTTCAAAGAGCGGATGACTGTTTGTCCTCCAAAGCTGGGTCTGGATTGTCCCCGGTGCAGATGGCAGCTGCTGTGACAGGACCCTAATTGGAAGAGGATCCTGTGACCTCCAAACCAATTAAATAATGTCTCAGGAGCTGGGAACAGCTGTGTGAGGAAAGTGCTCATGATGGCTTTGGGGAACAGGTGAATTTTTTCCCCCCACCAGCAGTGGCTTTAGTGATCGTAGGAGGTATTGACAGTGGGTGCTGGGCAGGTCAGGAAAATTGGTCTCAGGAGAAGCAAGAAAAGTGACATTAGCAACCTGCTTTTTTCAACAGAGGCTCTAATGAGGCAGAGCTGGAGTGTTGGGGAATAATTGCTTCCAGCTAGCAGGAAAGTTGCCTGGACCAGAAATAGAAGATACCAGAGACACGCTACTGTGAGAGGGGCAGAGAATTGGGGTGATAAGGTTTTGAACCTCTGCCCTCAATCAGGCCACCAGAACTACATTCAGAAGTGTCCCTCGAGACTATTTTGTGATGATCGAGCTGTTCTGTATCTTGATTGTGGTTGATCATATACCTCTGTCAAAACTGCCATAAAACTGTAAACCTCAAAGGGTCAGTTCTACTATAGGTAAGTCATTCCTAAATATGAACACACGCAAAATACACATACACAGGGTCCCTTAGGCTGGCTCTCCTCACCCAGCCCTGGGTAGGCCTCTGGTGGTCAGATGTTAACTCCATGTCCTGCCTACAACTCCTGAGGCTCCTTGTATAAATTTATAAGGAGAGAAGGAGGAGAAACACTGACACAGGATTATGAACCTAGAGATCTCGGAAGCAGGGGTTCGCCTCCTTGGCTGCCCCCAGCACCCACAAGAGGACTGACAGCCCCAGGCCACACCTTACACCCAACCAATGAAGTCAGGATCTCTGGGGCTGGGACCATCCTCAGGATTTTAAAATCTTCCCATCCCACCCCAGCCCCATGAGGGCTTTTGGGGAACAGATTAAGACCACTTACAAAGTCATGAGAAGTGGTTGGTTATTCCATCCTTCCCTGTTCTCCCGTTTTGGAGACAGTGCCCAGAGTCTACATTTGAGGCTCTCTGCTCGCCTGCCCTCCGTGCCTGCCTCCCAGGTGCTGGGGGCCCACAGATTTTCACCTTGCTGCTATGGTGGGGTTCTCAGTAGGCTCCTTCCTCCACACTCAAGGATCAGTTTGGAACTTTGGACCTCCGTTCCCACTGCCTCTGGCCATCTGCCACTCCTTCCTCCATCCCTGGAAACGTGTGTACACATCGTGTCCCCAGAGGAAGAGCGTGAAACTTGGAACTGAACTGTGATTCCAGCTCCCCGTCTTGGGTGAGATCCCCTGAGGGCTCCAGATCAGGGCAAATCACTCAGCCTCTTTGAGCCTCAGTTTCTCACCAGCAAGATGGATGAGAGGATATGTAAGGACTCACTCTGGAAATTCAAGCACTCAAACTCTAGTTAATATTTTCACCAATAGCTTCCTGGGGGACAAGACCTCATGTCCTATGTCTTCTGATTTCCAACTGGAGTCACTTCCGTCTTCTCCCAGGGATGGGACACCTGATCATCATTTGCCAAATGAATGATTCTTCACCCTTATTTCTCATGGGGAAAAGGACTAAGCTATTCTTAGGTTGGTGGGTTAAGTTGGTACTCTGAGCAGGCCTCTGAAACAGCTGCTGGTTCCTGCCGGCAGGTTTCTGAAGTGGCCCAGATTTCTAAGTGCTCCTGTCCTAATGGAAAGGCTGCCTGCCTGCCCGCCAGGAGGGAGGTCGGTGAGTCCTGCCCTCCCACACACTCTGATTTCTCCTGTGCAGCACGGACAGGGCATGAGGCTGTCCCCTCTGGAGGGGAAAATTGAGGGACACAGTGGGGAATGATGTTGTACTTGGAAGGTTTTCCAAAATTGATTCATGGTGGAGGGGGGATGTTTTAGAGTCCCTTCTTAAATGTTGGCAAAGTGGCCAGGCTACCAGAAAAAGGTATAACCTGGACAGTGTCCCTCTGCCCTCATTAGATTTCCCCATCCACTTCAGAGCCCAAGGAGGCTGCACAGCCCACCCCAAGGCACCAGGGTTCCTGGTGGGGGCTGCAAGTCTAGAGTGTGTGCGACACTTGGCAGAGGGGGTTGGTGCTTGAAACAACAGAAATTTATTCTCTCTCAGTTCTGGGGGCTGAAATCCAAAATCTGGGTAACCCATCCTCCCTCTGGTAGATTCAGGGAAAATCCTTCCTTGCCTCTTCCTAGTGTCTGGTGGTTGCTGGCAATCCTTGGTGTTCTTTGGTTTGTAGCTGCATCATGGCAATCTCTGCCCCTTCTTTCCTGTGTGTCCTCACATGACCCTCTTAGAAGGACATTCATCACTGGATTCAGGGCCTGCTCTAATCTGTTATGACCTCATCTTAACCAATTATACTTACAAAGACCCAATTTCCAAGGAAGGTCTGAGTAGAGCTGAATTTTAGGGGAACACTAACCCACACAATATTCCTGGGGCTTCCATATCTTTACACATCCTCTGTCTGAGGATTTTTCGGCAAAGTCTAAGCAGGGTGAGCTCAGCATCACTGTATTGAAGACAGGCACTGTGGTGCGAGGAAGGGCCAGGGCCTGGATCTGAAAACTTAGGTCAACCTCCAGCCAACCTTGGGCAAGTCACTACCGTCAGAGCACGAAGCCACCTGCAGCCCCCACCCCACCCTCCCGCCCCAGCTTAATAGGATTAAGTTCTAAGACCACAGTGTACATGAAAATTAATCCTCCAGTCTCTGCAGAAAATTTCTGCCTGGGAGGATAAAGTTACAAATAATTTAATTATTGGTTTCATGAACTCCTGAAAATCCATTTATCTGAATTTTTATTTAGCACTCAACTAGCCTTCGCCAGGATAAACAGCACCTTTCTCAGGACAAATGGCTGTTTACTCTTAAGGTTCATTCAAAAACTTCCTTTTTTGTATTTCAACTATTATATCAAGAACTTAGTCCAGTCCCCACCAGCTTTCCACTGTTGAAGATCCATCTCAAACCACACTCCCCCAATCTTCTAAATACACTACTCTTGACTTCCCTGCTCGTTACAGAGGAATAGGCCGAGTTTGCTGGCCCTGCAGGCTATCCTGAAGGGGTTTTGCCTGCAGTTGGCAGTTGGCTCTTCTCTGAGTGTCAATCTCCCATATTTTATATTTACATTATATATATATAATTTTTATGTTATATATATATATGTAAACACATATTCTTATATATAAATATACATTTTACATTATATATCTTTTTTCTTATATATTTTGTACTTATCCTTGTATAAAGTCTATAAAATGGGGAAAACAATCCCCTACTTCACCTACACACAGACTTGTGGCTTCCCTGCTCACCCCAACCCCTGCACCCCAGAGGAAAACGGGGGACTAGCAAAAATTCTCATCAGCCAAGGCACACTTCAAGACTGAAAGGAACAGTTGCCCACTTGGGAGATTTGGAGCCTTTTAAATGTGCTATGTCTGTAAAAGAATTCTGTAGATCATAGGCTGTTGTATAAACTTCAGCGACAATTATTAGCAGTTAGGTATTTTTGTCCCTCCACCGGCAAACGAAAGCTTTGGAACCAAATAACAGAATCTAGTGAGGTAAAGTTGGCCACATGTTGTAAAATCGGGCCCCCAATCAAGAGTTTCCTACCTTTTGTTAATTACATGTAATTAACATACAGCCACATCGCCTGACCTCAGGATTGACCTGGGGTGGGGGTGTCAGGTGCCTGTAGGGAACGGGGGACAGTGCTGGGTGGTCTCCTTTGTTCAGCCCACCTGCAGCATCTCATGTGTCCCCCCTGGATGGGAATTACTGTGCAGTAAGCCAAGACATTGCTGTTTAATAAGTGGTACTTACTGAAAGTTTAGTTATCGAAACTGACTTTAGTTTTCTGGTAGACATTTTATGTAACATGGAGAAGAAAAATGTGCTGCTATTTTGAAGTTATGCAGAATGTCCCTTAGGTTTAGGGACATACTATGATGGCTTCTCTGAGTGTGTCTAATAACGGACTGTGATTCTAGAGGCTTTTGCAGGTCAGGTAGTTGCCAGCTGGGTGGCACGTCTGTAGTTTGGCCAAGGAAACATCAAAATGCCGACAGATATTTCACTTTCCCCAGTTGTTCCCACAGTGTCTTTTAGACCTGGCTCTGAGTCAGGACCCAGTCAGGGGCATGGTGTATGATTGCTGTGCCTGTTTAGTTTTCGTTCATCTAGAATGTTTCCCCCAATTTTTTGTCCCTTGTCATATTGACTTTTGGAGAAGATGATCAGTTTCTTTAGAGAAGGTTCCTGGGGGTTTTGTCAAATTGTTTCTTGGTGGTGTCATTTCACTTGTTTCTCTCTCTTTCATGCAAAGTGGGAGTTAGAGGGTAAATGATTAGGTTCATTTTGGGCAAGCATACTTCACCGATTTAAAAAAAATTTTGTTTTCTGTTAATAAAATGAATTCAAGGTCATAGTGGGAAAATTTAAAGGAAAAAAGAAAGCCCATAGTCCTACCATCCCAAGATAAATACATTTTGGTACATCTCTTGCCAGTCTTGTTCTCTGCATGCATATAAAGAGACAAAGAGAGAAAGTATATAAATATTCATTTTAAGAACAAAATTAAGCTCATGAATTCTCTGTGTGGGGAGGTGTGTGTGTATGTGTTCATGTGTGTGAGATCCATCCAATATTTGATCAGTTTTCCTATTGTTGGGCATTAGGGGCATTTCCAATTTTTGTTCTTTACACATATGATAAACATCCTTGCAAACAAATCCTTATCTATCTTCTTCTAGAATGGAATTACTAGGTTAGTACTATGTACAAGATTTCTGATACACACTGACAGGGTGCCACTGTTGATTCATCTATACATCCGCCAGCCCATTTTGTCAAAACTTTACCAAACCAGAATTTTCTTTAAAAATGTTATGATAGATGAAGACATAATGGTATCTAATTTTAGTTTTCATACCTGATTATTTAAGGAAGCTGAGCATACTTCCATATGCTCATTAGCCCATCGTAGGGTTTTTTTTAGTATAATGTTTTCCATAATTTCTTGATTGCACCATCCTTTATATTAAGAGTAATCCTGTGTCATGTATATCACTCTTATCAGGTTGTAAAATGAAAGACAACCTCAGTTGTCCCTTGCAGCTCCTCTCTCCTTGGGATCTGCACTGGAATTTGGGGTCTGCTGAGAGGGTAGGAGCTGTGGTGTTGACAAAGCCCTTGGTACAGGCCCGGCACACAGGACACTGAGCAAAGGCTGGGAGCATGCTCATGATCCCAGTAAGCCCTCACGCCCTGTCCCGTCCTGTGACCACAGGGAGCCCATAATAAACCACCAGGATGAAGCTCATTGCTCCTCCCGACCATGTCTCCCCACCTCCCACTTCATTCATCTCTCTTCAGCTGCTCCTTGTGAGTCCAGACCTGCTTAGAATTACCTCTTGATTTTCCCTCCATTGAACTACAGAACATCATCCCCAGTCTATAAGGGCCTGATTTGCAAAAGCCCCACCCCCCAGAATCGTGGTTCAGAATGCCTGGTTCAGAGGACTGCACCTCCGAAAGCTGCAGAAAGCGGGGGCCAGGGTGGGTGCAGCAAGGGGTGCATGTCTCCAAAGAAGGCCTAGTCCAGGCTGGCCTGAGTCAAGAGGACATTCTGGGCAGGCCACTAATTTGGTGCTCCATCACACTGATATATTTTTTTAAAGTTCTTAAATGGGAAGTAAACAGAAAGTCATTTTCTGGTTTTAAAAAATAGCATGCATAGAGAGCTTTTTCCTTCCATGTTCCCAGCTTGGCTTCCCTCAATCTTTGCTCTTGTTTTTCATGTTGTGATCACCAGCAACTTGTCTGACTCTTAGGGTCAGACTGTGAGTGCCTGGAAGGTGAGGACTTCCCCTGTTTGTCTCAGAGTCTCCAGTGCCTGGAGCACTATCTGGCACTTAGAAGGTGCTGGAATGAATTGCTGACTTTCTTTCTGTAAAAGCTGCAGTAGACACTTGGGCTCAAAGGGCGGAGCTGGAAACCACACACTGCTGATCTCAGACTCCTTTGGACACGAGGGCCCAGCCCTTGTGACTTGGAGCCCCCTGCCTGGGCTGTGGAAGGAAGCCCAGGACCCCCTGCCCTGCTCCCCTCAGCTGTTCTGGGGCCTCTTGGCTTCCTGAGGCACATTTGGCTCTTCTTGGACCACATTAAAATGCAGCAATTCAGCTTGGAGGAAGAGATGGAGACAGAAGGAGAGCAAGC